TCTACCACTTGAGCTATACCCTCCCCCTGTCTTGGATAATTTTTGCACATTGATAGCTGGATCCAGGACTGGATCAGACTCAGATTCAGTCCCTTTGGTAATTCTCTACATGGTGTTTGGCAAGACCATAGGAGGCGTAGAATACCTTATTGTTTCTCTTTGTCAGCACCTGTTGATATTTGATGCCTTATCTGTTCATTGAAGTTTGCAATTGTATCATGTTTTTTTTTTTAACTTAGTTGGAATATTAGTACCTTATCTATCATTTGAATACACAGCAATATAATTCCTTTAGGAAAGGCAACATAAATGTTTCATTCTTTCCATTTACCAATTTTTGAGAAAATTATCTTCTGAAGACAGTTCTTTTTAAAGAATCTAATGTCAGTATGACATCATGAATGTGAACACTATGGGTTTCAGTTTATTGCAATTATTTTCAAAGCTCATGTGGTCTCATCTTTGGCTGAAGGGAGCCTCTTCAAGCCTGTTTTTTTTTGATGACTTCACTAGTCTTTAATATCTTCCTCGGTGACTGATAATCTTGAACCATTTCTGTCTCCAAATCTGAAATCAACATTTTTTTCAAGAAACTCTGGTTTCTTTTAGAAGGAAATGGCATTTTAAGATCATTATATACCAGAGATCCTGAGTTAGTCACTGTTTTAGGCTTTTCAGTAGACAGAGCTAGGAAACTTTATCTAACTATCCTTAGACACACACACATTAAAGATAAACTATTTCATGAGTTCATATGAATACTTCCAGGTCAAATTGGGACTGCAGAGCTTTTACTTAACTTTTCTATTATATCTGCAGTACCTTTTTTCTATATGAAGAATACTGGTTCTTGAGAACATAGAAGATGATGGAATTAGAGTGTCCCATAATTACTCATTAGTTTTATCTCATATTACACACCTAACAGTATCAAAAATATGTTACTGATAACACCACCAATATGATTACTGAAAACATTAAACTTTCATTTTGGCTTATGTGCTTCCTATTCTTTCCCCTTTTTTTCCTTTTTTTGTTTTTAAATAGTTTTATTGTATCTGCATTGTCAAAGCATATAGTCATTACATGTTCTACTTTTTCTCTCTTAGCCTTCATTTATCCTTAGTTCTACAGGTATATTTAATACATACCACCAGTGTGTATGTTGATGTCCTTCTAACCATTTTGGTTACCTGATGCTTTTTTTTTTTTTGTTAAATTGCTCTGGAAGGAATATTCCTGAGTTCTTTCATATTGGTAAAAGTTTGTGCCCTTTATACTTGAAGGTAAGTTTTGCTGCTATAAAATCTTTGCTCACATTTCTTTTCCTTGAGTTTCTTAAATATAGTACTCCTTTTTCTTCTGGTATAAGCATTGGTATCAAAGTCAGATGATAATCCAGTTTTTCCCCTTATAAGTCATTTGTTCCTTTTTTTCTAGATGACGAAAGAATTTTTTTCTTTTAAAATTCAGTAACTTTATTAAAATGTGTCTTGGTATTGGTTGTTCTGAGGTCAGTACTTGATAGGTTCTTTGCATATGTAGTTTCAGATCTTTTTTTTTAAATTTCAGGAAAACATTATTTTTTATTTTTTGGCAGAGGAGGTAATTAGGTTTACTTATTTATTTCTTTTTAGAGGAGGTACTGGAGATTGAACCCAGGACCTTGTGTATGCTGAGCATGCACTGTACCATTTGAGCTATACCCTCCCCCAGGGAAACCTTATTTTTAAAACAGCTTTATTGAGATATTTGTTATACAGTATACTGAACGTATTTAAAATGTACTATTTGATGTGTTTTGACATACATATATACCTGTGAAACCATGACCACAATCAAGATTGTGAATATGTTTATCCAACACTCCCCAGTTTCCTTTGTAATCAGTCTTTCCAGCTTCATATTCTTCAACCACTGACCTTTCTGTCACTGTAGATTAGTTTTTTGTTTTTTAGAATTTTATGCAAATAGAGTCATAGTATGTACTCTATCTGGCTTCTTTCACTCAGCCTTAAGTATTTTGAAGTTTATCCATGTTGTTGCAAGCATCAATAGTTTATTCCTTTTTCTTGCTGAGAGGTATTCTGTTGTATGAATATACTACACTTTATGTATCCATTCACTTGTAGATGGACATTTGAGTTGTTTCCAGTTCCTGACTATTACAAATAAAGGTCTTAAGAGCTTTGTAAGCCTTTATGTGGACATTTGCTTTCATTTCTCTTGGGTAAATATGTAGGAATGGAATAGTTCTTACGGTAAGTGTATATTTAACCTTATAAAAAACTGCCGAAGTGTTTTCAGATTTGCAGTCCTTTTTACATTCCCATCAGCAGTGTATTAGAGTTCTAGTTCCTCCACATCCTCAAAAATATGTGGTATAGTTTGTCTTAGACATTTAAATAAGTGTGCAGCAGTTTCACAGTGTGGATTTTAACTTGAATTTCCTTCATGACTAACAGCTTTTATAGCATCTTTTCATGTGCTTATTTACCATCCGTATATCTTCTTTGATGAAATGTCTATTCAAATTTTGTGCCCTTTTTAAAATTGGGTTGTTTGCTTTCTTATTGTGTGCTTTATGTATTTTCGGTATGAGTTCTTTATGAATTGCAAGTATTTTCTCCTAGTCTGTGATTTTTCTTTTCCTTCTCATAACAGTATCTTTCAAAGAACAGTTCTTATTTTTATGAAGCCCAACTTAGTATCTTAACCATTTTTAAGTATATAGTTCAGTGGTATTAAATACATTCATAATATGCTACCATCACCATCATCTAGCTGCAGAACTCTTTTTGACTTGTAAGGTTGAAACTCTGTATCCATTAAATAATAACTCACCATTCCCTCAAGGCTCTGGCAACCACCATTCTACTTTATGAGTGAAATCATAGAACATTTGTGTGTGTGTGTGTGTGTGGGATTGGCTAATGTCCTTAAGGTTCACCCATGTTATAATTTAATGTAAACATTCCCTTTTTATGGCTGAGTTGTATTCCATTGAATGGATAGACCATATTTTGCATATCCATTCATCTGTTGATAGACAGTTGGGTTGCTTCCAAATTTTAGCTATTGTGGATAATGCTGCTGTGAACATGGATGTACAGATATCTCTTCATGATCCTGCTTTCAGTTCTTTTGACTATACCCAGAAGTAGAGTGGCTGAATCATATGGCAATTCTATGTTTAATTTTTTGACGAACCATCCAGCTATTTTTCATAGCAGCTACACCATTTTACATTCCTACCAACAGTATACAAGGGTTCTACTTTCTCTTTGTCCTCACCAACACCTGTTATTTCTTTTTTTTTTTGATGGTAGCCATCCTAATAGGTATGAGATGGTATCTCATTGCAGTCTTGATTTACATTTACCTAATGGTTAGTGTGATATTGAATATTTTTTCATGTGTTTATGGGCATTTTTATATTTTCTTTAGAGAAATGTCTGCTCAAGTTCTTTGCCCATTTTTTAATCAGATTTTTTTGTTGTTGAATTTTAGGAATTTTCTATATATTCTGGATATTAGTCCCTTATCACGTATATGATTTGCAAATATTTTCTCCCATTCTGTGGATTGCCTTTTTACTCTGTTGACAGTATCTTTGATGGACAAAAGTTTTAAGTTTTCATGAAGTCTAATTTGTCTATTTTTTTCTTTTGTGGCCTATGCCTTGGTGTTA